AAAAAAAAAAAAAAAAAAAAAAGTGTAACATAAAGTTACAAGGCCTAGTCCCAGCTCGACTTTTTGTTTCCCTAGCTGAAATGGGAATGGCCGGGCGTGGTGACTCAGGCCTGTAATCCAAGCATTTTGGGAGGCCGAAGAGGGAGGATCGCTTGAGCCCAGGAGTTCGAGATTGAAGTGAGCTATGATCGCCCCACTGGACTCCAGCCTGAGCAACACAGCGAGACCCTATCTCTAATTTAGAAAAAAATAAAGTTGTAGCCGGGCACAGTGGTTCACGCCCGTAATCCCAGCACTTTCGGAGGCCTAGGCGGGAGGATCACCTGAGGTCAGGAGGTCCAGACCAGCCTGACCAATACGGAGAAACCGTCTCTACTAAAAATACAAAACAAGCCGGGCGTGGTGGCACATGCCTGTAATCTCAGCTACTCGGGAGGCTGAGGCAGGAGAATCCCTTGGACCCGGGAGGCGGAAGTTGCGGTGAACTGAGATCGCACCATTGTACTCCAGCCTGGGCAACAAGAGCCAAACTCCATCTCAAAAAGAATAAAAGTTGTCTAAATTTAAACATTTTTATAACATGAATTGGGAGGCGACTGGTCTAGGCTTTCTAACCGCCCAACATCACCTGCGGCTAAGCCCACAAACACTTCCGCTACTTCCAGCAGCCAACCGACTCCTCCTGCTCCTTCCCGATTTCAGACTTGGTAAGTGGTGCTGGGAACGCGAGGAGGGAGGGAGAGGAGCGTGTATGACGCCACATCCGGCGTGCGGCGGAATTGGCTTCCCTTTGCTTCCGCGGCGGGGCCGGAAGTAGAAGCGGCAGCGGCGGCGGCCCAAAGCGGAGGGAAGTAAGGAGGCAGGGAGCGCCCCATAACCGGAACCGGAGTCGCAGCGGCGGTAATAATGCGAGACCCCTCTAGGCCACCGTCCTTAGCGTGGACCGTGGGATTCGACGGGAGTTAGTGGGGTTCCGGCTAGGCCATGGGACTCTGGGGGGTCCCGGGGCTGATGTGAAGGGAGGCGGGGGTGGGGGGTGGGGCCGGGCTGGCCCTAGAATCGAGTTGTCCGCCCCGCGCCCCTCACGGACACTCTAATCCGCGGGCTTGTCTTGGCCTTTCCCAGGAGACCCCTGTGCGGTGCGGAGGGGGCGGTGGCCCCAACTCTAACCCGCGCCGGGGGGTGGGCCATGGCGGAGATTAGCGACCTGGACCGGCAGATCGAGCAGCTACGTCGCTGCGAGCTCATCAAGGAGAGCGAAGTCAAGGCCCTGTGCGCTAAGGCCAGGTGAGCCCGTTGGCCCTACGGAAGGGAGGCCAAGCCGCCGCCCAAGGGTTCTGGCCTGGGGCAAACCCAACTGAGAATTTTGGGCTTGCCCCTTCCTGGAAGCTTTCCCAGAGAGGAACAGGATGGGGCCGCTGCCCTCGAGGAAGAGCTAGCCTGCTGGGGGAAGACAGCTGGATAAAGACACTTAAAGTATTAGACGATGTGTTTCCAGTGGAGTAAGAGTGTTATGTAAAGTACTTAGGAAACTCAGGGAAACAAGCCCATCTGTCTGGGGGACAGAGCTTCTGGGGGTGAGTGGCGAACTGAGACAGGCCTCGAATAAGGAGTTGGTAAAAGAGTCAGCAACAAAACAAAGGTTTAAGACAGAAAAGTTAAAGACGCTGTGATTTATAAAAGTCTTAATTCCAACAACCACCCATAAAGGTTGGTGGTATTGTACTCATTTTACGGGTGAGGACTGTCATGTTCAAAGTTACCCACAAGTAAGGAGTGGAGTCTGAAGCCAGTTCTTAGTGTCCTGTCCTTTTTCAGGCCGTAATGCAAGAAGGTGGATTTGGATCACTCACGTTCAGGATGGGACCCTGAGAAATCGTAGCAAGTAAGCCAGGATAGAATTAAGCATGATAGGCAGGCCAGTTTAAAGTTCTGTGGGAAGTAGGATGACCTAAGGCTCCAGGCTTTGGAGTGTGAGATGGCTCTAGGTTTGAATCTGAACTCTGCCGCTTGCTAGCTGTGTTAGTGATCTTAAGGTGGCTTTACTTGTAAAGCAGACGTAATAGTACTGAATAAGATGGTCGTGAAGATTCAGTGAGTTGCTGCTTGAGATAAGTTTAGCACAGTGTCTTGGTGCAGCATACATGCTTGATAGTCACTAGGTGTTCTCTTTCTCTTGGATGAGGGCGACGATGAGATGGGCTAAAGCCGTCAGGGAAGGCTTCTGAATGGAGGTACACCTTGAAGGATGGAGATAATTTGGCTAGCTGACAGAGGCAGGGCCAGTGAGGGAAGGGCATTCCAAGCAGGACAAGTGTAGCAATGGAAGCCCTGAGAGTGATGAACAGTCGGGGGTTTAATTAATTACCTGCCTCCTCTGGGGAACTGTGTGATTGTGACTTCTACCAGGCTGGAGAATTGTGGCAGAAGAGCCCGCAGAATTACCCTATGTTTATTGAACTATACGCCCACTCTTGGCCTGGCCTTATACTGGCGAAAAAAGTCTATCCATCTCTTCCTCCCAGCAGTCCCACGAGGTTGGAATTATTTGCTCCATTTTACCGAACAGGAAACCATGACTCGTAGAGGCCTGGTGACTTGACTGAGGTCACCCACTGAGGACGTGGCAGAGCTCAGTTCTGAATCTGTGGCCCCCAGGCTCTTTGCTTGGCCCTGCCTCACAGACTCCCTGCAACCAGACAGGGCCTCTGAGGGGATCGTGAGCAGGGTGGGCCTCTTTTTCACCCCATCTGTGGCTGTTTTCTTTTGCCAGCTCAAGGAAACGTCCCTGACCAGACCTGCCCCATGGTGTTTTTAGTTGTCCCCTCTCCCTCAGTCCTGCTGGGCATTTTTTAGGAACTTAAACCTGTTGTCTGACACTATTCTTTTCCCCTGAAGTCTTATCTCCTGTGCAGGCCTGGGATCAGTGTGGTGGTGATGGTAGATAATGCTTGGATAGCATGCTGGAGTTTGCAGAATAGCAGGAGGTTATATATTCAGTCTCCATGGCTCCTCGCAAGCGCCTAAGAAGTAGGCATGACGGGGCTGAGTACTTAGTCCCATTTCGTGGAAGAAGAAACAGCCTCTGAGTAGATAATGTCGTGTCCAACGTCATGCAGCTAGTCGGAGGGGAAGTTAGTTGTGCATCCAGGTTTTTGACTGTGCTCTGTGGTCACTGAGAGCCAGGCAGAGGCATTTAGATTTTGATGTGGGGTGCGAGGCAGCAGGGAGCTGTGGAAGGCTAAGGGGTGGAGAGTCCTGCCCAGTTGAAACTGAGTGGAGCTAGGAGGTACTAGACCAAGGCCTGAGTTGGTCACTGTTGTCCCAGGCTCAGTTCTGAAGTGTGGCCAGCTCTTATACCTGGCCAAGGCCTCCTGAGGACCCACCAGAGACCCCGGCTGAGGCAGGTAGTGTCAGGAGCACCTGCTTGCCCACAGGGCACAGACATGCAGATGAAACCCACGGAAGCACAGAGGCCTGCAGTGTCTGAGCTGAAGTTGCTGCTACTAGAAATATTAGCACAGTAGAAGAGTTGAGCTTTTGAATCAGGTGGCCTTCAGTATGGATCTTTGCCTTGTCACCTAGAAGCACTATGACCCTGGTCAAGTCACTTTCTCATTTTTTGAAATGATAATGACAGCCAGGTGCCATGGCTTATGCCTGTAATCCCAGCACTTAGGAATGCCAAGGCAGGCGGATCACAAAGTCAGGAAATTGAGACCATCCTGACTAACATGGTGAAACCTTGTCTCTACTAAAAATACAAAAAATTAACGAGTGTGGTGGAACGTGCCTCTAGTCTGAGCTACTCGGGAGGCTGAGGCAGGAGAATCGCATGAACTCAGGAGGCGGAGGTTGCAATGAGCCAAGATCGTGCCACTGCACCCCAGCCTGGTGACAGAGCGAGACTCCATCTCAAAAAAAAAAAAGAAAAAAATTATAATGACATGCAGTTGAGAGTCTGGTGATCCGGGCACAGGACCTTCTGTGCTGGTAGCTGTTACTACAGGCAGGTCATGATAGGGCTGGTGACGTGCTGCAAGTGACAGAACTGGGACCGGAATCTGGGCCTGATTCCCAGGCCACGCTGGGGCCATGCTGGCACTGAAGGGGGCTTTGCTGAGAGCATGGGCCTTGCATGTGACCTTTCTAGGTTTCAGGTTTTCACTCAGGGTCTGCGGAAGGGGCTGGCATCAATTCTCAGGAAGTCCGGCTTCTGGATTCCAATGTAGCCACTCTCCAGTTTGGTGACCTTGATCCTGTCGCTTTTCTCTAAGCTTTGGTTTCTTTACTGTTACATGAGGCTGAAGAGAACCTCCCAGTCTGTTGGAAAGGTTACCATGAGCAGTTGACAAGGATGTTCAGCACAAGAAGCAGTGCAGGCACGAGAGCCTGGGTGCTGGTGTGGCCTCTTGCCAGTGCCGCCTCCCGTTGCCAGAAAGCCAGGGCAGACCTCCTTCATGCTGCCTGTGCCATACAGAGCAGGGAGCATAAGTGATTCTTGCTGTCCACTGAGCTCAGGAAATTCAGTCTAAGGGAAGAGATTGGCCGAAAGGCGGGGCAGCTAGGTGAGTTGGGCCTCCCACATCAGAGTATCTTTATAAAGAGTCAGACTCCAGAGCCAGGCTTCCCAGGTAAATCCCACCTGTGTAACTGGCACCAAGCCAGCCCCCTCCTGTGCTTCACTTTCTTCATCTGAGCACTGGTAATCCTCACAGTACTTGCCTACCAAGCTCTTAATAACATTCCTGGCACATGGTGTGAGCTCAAATGTCTACTGCTGCTATTATGCAAAATTTGGAAATAAAATGCTGCCTAGATTGGATGTCTGTAGACCGGGTGCAGTGGCTTGTGCCTGTAATCCCAGCACTTTGGGAGGCCAAGACGGGTGGATCATTTGAGGTCAGGAGTTCAAGACCAGCCTGGGCAACAGCGAAATTCCGTCTCTACTAAAAACGCAAAAATTAGCTGGGTGTCATCTCAAAAAAAAAAAAATGAGATGTCTGTAACTGACAAAGTGATTTCATCTCCTGCTCACTCAAGTAGAAGCAGACTGCACTGCAAGGAGAAGTATAAAATATTTAAGTCTTCACGGTCCATAAAGGTAATATTGAACACTTGGCAAAAGCAGGTAATTTTGAAGGCACATCCACCGGCGGGCCTGCCCTGGGCACTCGCCCTTGTGTCTGGACAGCCTGGGAGACTCTGCGATTGGTGGAGAGTGACTCAAATACTTGCCGAGGGCGCTGGGAGCAGGGAGCTCTGCTGTGGAGAGGATGGGAAGACCCGCCTCCCAGGAGCGAGTCCTAGATGTGGAAAAGGGAGCAGCAGCGGGGGTCAGGACTGGAAAAGTCCCAGCCTGCTCAGAAGGCCTTGAATGCTGGGATGAGAGCTTGGACTTTGTCCTTTTGGCAGCAGGGAGCCACAGAAAAGTGTTGCATGCTGGAGGGCCGTGGTCAGCCTGTTCTGGGGAGACTGTATGCTTCACTCTTGTCCCTTGGAGGTTCAAGGACTGCCTCATATCCTCCCCTCCCCCCCCAAAAAAGGTCAGGAATTGGGCTGGGCTGGCCTGGCTGTGGTGACCCTGGTCTTCTCCTGTCTCCAGAGAGATCTTGGTAGAGGAGAGCAACGTGCAGAGGGTGGACTCGCCAGTCACAGTGAGTACCTGCTATCCCTGCAGAGCCGGGCCTTGTCTTTTAGGCACATGGACTTTCCCCTTCATCTTGGGGGCTCCATAAGCCCACCCCTAAGCCCCTTTTATCTGTCCCCTTCGTCATCTTCAAGGGAGCAGTGCTATAAGATATGGGGGTTGCCAGGCATGGTGGCTCACACCTGTAATCTCAGCACTTGGGAGGGCAAGGTGGGCAGATCACTTGAAAGGAGTTTGCTGAAACCCCATTTCTACTAAAAATACAAAGGCCAGGTGCGGTGGCTCACACCTGTAATCCCAGCACTTTGGGAGGCCGAGGCGGGCAGATCACAAGGTTAGGAGTTCAAGACCAACCTGACCAACATGGTGAAACCCTGTGTCTACTAAAAATACAAAAATTAGCCAGGTGTGGGTATAATCCCAGCTACTTGGGAGGCTGAGGCAGAATCGCTTGAACCTGTGAGGCAGAGGTTGCAGTGAGCCAGGATTTCGCCACTACTCCAGTCTGGGCAACAGAGTGAGACTCTGTCTCAAAAACAAAAAAAATAAATAAAAATAAAAATACAAAAATTAGCTGGGCGTGGTGTTTCATGCGTGTAATCCCAGCTACTTGGGAGGCTAAGGCTGGAGAATCGCTTGAACCCGAGAGGTGGAGGTCGTGAGCCGATATCATGCCACTGCGTTCTAATTAAGCCTGTGTGACAGAGGGAGACACCATCTCAAAAAAAAAAGAAAGAAAGAAAGAAAAATGGGGGTTGTGGGAAAAGACCTTTGATTTGTTAGTGGAGACTCTTGGCCAGGACAGAAGGACTTATCTCCAGGGCTCTGCGTTAGTAATTTGATTCTGGATACCTTAAGGGGAGCAGAAAGCGGAGGGGGCCAGGACATACACCGGCAAGGACTTAGTTCTTCCCCACAGAATAGTTGGTACTCAGTGTGGGACGGTGGATGTGGTTCCAGACCTGGCCGACTTGGGTTGGGAGAGGAGAATTTTGGCTCTTGGAAGTAGAGGCGAAGCCAGGAGCGATAAAGCTCCCTAAAGCAATGGGTGTTTGGAGGGTAGCCCCTGGGAACTCCCATCACTTGAGTTCCAACCCCCCTTCCTGCTCCGCAGGTGTGCGGCGACATCCATGGACAATTCTATGACCTCAAAGAGCTGTTCAGAGTGAGTGTGTGGCCAACACTGAAATGTAACCGGGGGATGACTGGAAGACCCCTTTAATCAAGGGTGGAGGCCTTAATTTGGGGCACAGAGTTGGGGCAAGAGGCCCTGAGTTAGATGGGCGGTTGTGGAAGAAGGAACAGGTAGGGGATAGGGGACGGTTTAGGACTGGGAAAAACCTTCCACTTCCCCACAGGTGGGTGGCGACGTCCCTGAGACCAACTACCTCTTCATGGGGGACTTTGTGGACCGTGGCTTCTACAGTGTCGAAACGTTCCTCCTGCTGCTGGCACTTAAGGTGACAGTCCCTGGCTTCTGTACTCCAATGTGGGCCACGGCCAGTCCGTTCCACCTTCATCTCCTACCGTGACCAGCCCCACCTTGCAGCTGTGTCGCTGGTCATGGATTGCTTCTGCCTTTGGGGATGGTCAGAGATTTGGTGGCGGGGGAGGCCAGCAGAGCAGCATTCTGGGAGGGGCAGAGGCTCACTGTTGAGAATGTGCCGGGTGATTGATGCCACTGGTGGGAGAGGTGGTAGGGGTCAGATGACAAAGGGCTGTGTGCCTTGCTAAGGACTTGGTCTGTGTCTGGCAGGTGAAAGAGGAGCCATTAGGTTCATAGTTGATGGGGAACAGTCAGGTTTACATCTCTGGAAAGGGTCCTGTGGGCCTGGGAAGTGGTTGGTGCCACACGATTCAGGTGAGAGGAGCCAGAAGTGCGCTGGGCAGTGGTTGTGAGGATGGCATGAGGTCGGCAGGTGTGAGGAAGTTAGAGAGGGATGTGTGGAGGGATGGTCTAGATGCCAGCCCTGGCTTGGTGGCCACCCTCAGGTTCGATATCCTGACCGCATCACACTGATCCGGGGCAACCATGAGAGCCGCCAGATCACGCAGGTCTACGGCTTCTACGATGAGTGCCTGCGCAAGTATGGCTCGGTGACCGTGTGGCGCTACTGCACCGAGATCTTCGACTACCTCAGCCTGTCGGCCATCATTGATGGCAAGGTAGGCCAGCCCAGGGCTCCATGGGATGGGGAGAGGAGGGGGCTCCGGGCCTCAGCCCCGCCCTCTTTCCTTGCTCTCCCCTGTAGATCTTCTGTGTGCACGGGGGCCTCTCCCCCTCCATCCAGACCCTGGACCAGATCCGGACTATCGACCGAAAGCAAGAGGTGCCTCATGATGGGCCCATGTGTGACCTCCTCTGGTCTGACCCAGAAGGTGAGGGCATGTGGGCAGGGGCAAGCAGGGACAGCCAGGAGGGTTTGGGGAAGAGAGGGAGCAGGGGTAGCCTTCATTAGTGTCCATCTTCCACCTGCCAAATGGCTGGAACCCTGGAGGAGGAACAGGGAGGCCTGCCTGGCGGATGCTTTGAGTGCACAGTGGCTTGAGGCATGGCCCAGAGGGCTGTGGAGGACCAGATCATTGCTCCCCCAAGTGAAAGGGCCTTGGAACATGACAGCAGTTTCTTCAGAGGTCAGAACCCCAGAATGATAGCCACTTTGAGACCCTTTGTTTTGTGGGTTCTCCACTAGTGTGGAGCAGAGCTGAGATTTAAAATCAGGTCTGCTGAGGAGCAGTCCAGAGTTCCTGCTGTCGCACACAGCAGGGACAAACACACACACACACATACTCTTCTCCAGCACAAGCACACACATGTACACACACATGCACAGGCAGCCCCTGCTCCAGCACACACACACACGTATGCACACAAAGACCATATTATTTGCCAGTTATTATTTGGCAGGTAGCCTCTGCTCCAGCACACACACACTCACACGTACTCTGCTCCAGCACAAACACACATACATATGCGCACATGCAGCCTCTGCCCCAGCACACACACACACACATACATACACACACACAGGCAGCCTCTGCTCCAGCATAAACACACATATGTACACGCACATGCACATGCAGCCTCTTCCCCAGCACACACACATACATACATACACACACACAGGCAGCCTCTGCTGCAGCACACACACACACACACACACAGACACACGCAGCTGTTGCTCCACAGCCACTCCCTACTGCTCTGTGACAGCACAGAGTGCCCTTATGTCTCTGGGAGCACCGTTTTCACTCCCATAGGCTGTTGGGACAGGGAGTTGTATGATCACTGTGATTCGGAGGGGGCCCCAGCCATCGGTTCTTTCTTCTCTGGAGTTTATCTGCCCCTACCTTTGCTGTTCTGACCCCCACCATTCCCCAGACCATATTCAGGCCCCATGCTCTGGTCCCCTGGGCCTCTGGTGGACTTGGGGAGGGGCCAGGCTGCTCACCTCAAGGGGCAGCACTGGCAGCCAGAGAACCCTGAGGACATCCCTCTCCATCCCTCCCTTGCCCCATCAGACACCACAGGCTGGGGCGTGAGCCCCCGAGGGGCTGGCTACCTATTTGGCAGTGATGTGGTGGCCCAGTTCAACGCAGCCAATGACATTGACATGATCTGCCGTGCCCACCAACTGGTGATGGAAGGTTACAAGTGGCACTTCAACGAGACCGTGCTCACTGTGTGGTCAGCACCCAACTACTGCTACCGGTGAGCCGGCTGGGCCGGGCTGGGAGGGGCGGGCATCTGAGCTGAGCTGCTCCTGACCCTGCTGTCCTGCCTTCCAGCTGTGGGAACGTGGCAGCCATCTTGGAGCTGGACGAGCATCTCCAGAAAGATTTTATCATCTTTGAGGCTGCTCCCCAAGAGACACGGGGCATCCCCTCCAAGAAGCCTGTGGCGGACTACTTCCTGTGAGCCCCTGGCCCCTGCCCCCTCCAGCCCTTTTGGCCCTCGGACCACTGTGACTCTGCCTCTTCCCCAGACGGAGGCTGGGCATGGGGGGTGCTGTCTCCGGCTCTGCTCTCCCCCAAGAGGGTGCTTCGAGGGTGAGGACTTCTCTGGAGAGGCCTGGAGTCCTAGCTCCACGTTCCTCCTCTCCTCTCTCCCCACTTGAACCATGAAGTTTCCAATAATTTTTTTTTTCTTTTTTTCCTTCCTTTTTCTGTTTGTTTTTAGATAAACATTTTGAGAAAAAAAAAATGAAAAAAAATTCTAATAAAAGAAAAATGGTCTTTGGGTTTGTGCCAGACTTGGTTGGGATGTGCAGGGTTGCTGGCCTGGGACCTCGGGAGGACGTCAGGGCCTTGATTGCCTCAGGGCCCGGACCTGGCAGGAGGGCCAGGGTCAGGCCAGTCAGCTTGCCCAGGGCCTCCAGGGACTGCTGTCTGCTGGCTTCCCCAGTGCTAGGGAGAGGCTCGGTTCTCATGGCAGCCTTATCTTATTAATGACTGGCATCATGAGATTCTGATTTCTCCGAAGAGGAGATGGGCCCAGAGAACCGGTGGATTCTGTGCTAGGTCAGGCAGCTGGAAACGCAGGTTTAGATCTGGGCCCAGGTCTTCTAGCAAAGCCTTTGCTCACCCAGCCCCGCCCAGGGCCAAACACACGAGCCCAGTGTTTCCTGAGCACGGATGGCTTTTGAATTTTATTAACAAAAATACTCTGGTCCCAGAACAACAGACTGGTGTGGCCTGCACTGGTGGTGGGGGGGGCGGTGGGGACTGAGCCTCCCAGAGCCCATGGAGAGGCCTGGGAGGTGGGGATGCTGGTCTGTGGCCCCATTTGGCCAGGCAGAGTCCCTTCCATTCACACAGAGGTGATAGCCGGGAAGGGGAAGCTGGCCCCAGCTGGACTCCCAGCAGCCCTGGTTGGGCTTTGAAGCCAGAGGGGGGTGGGAGTGAAATCAAGGTGTGAAGTTGGGGGCTGGGGGGCATGCCCAAGGCAGCCATTTGGTGTGGGGGATGGGGCCAGTGGAGGTAAGGGGGCTCCAGGGCTGGGGGAAGGGAGCAGGAGGTTTATGATGGAGGCAGAGGGGCCCAGCATTGGCTCAGTACATGGGTTTGGAGCCCACATCCAGGTAGCCCCCAGGACCTGGGTATGGTAGAGGGAAGGGGCTCCCTTGGAGAAAGTGGGGGGCAAAGGGTGTCGCTGGCAGAGCCGCTGGGTACCCAGAGCCCCCTGGTCCAGGTGGCAGCTCCAGAAATGCAGCTGAGTGGGGGGCTGAGCGCCCAGAGTCTGGAGCCTCCAGGAAGCTGGAGCTCCTGACATGGAGAGAGGGATGTCAGGGCAGGGCAGAGGGACCCACAGCATCACCTGGTCCCCTGTCCCACTCACCTGGTGGGAAGGTGACTGGGAGCCCCGTGGAAAGCTGCAGGGTGCAGGAGGTAGGCCTCGGCACTAGGTCCACCGCACGGAGGCACCGGAACAGAGGTGGCTTCCCCAGGGGCTGGGGCCTGCTCTGGATCTGATTCACGAATGTCTCCACCCAGGGTGGAGTCGCAGGGACCACCTGGGGTTTCTGGGGAAAGGGAAGGGAGAGGTTGGGCTAGGCAGGATTGGTGTCTCAGGCCTGGCCCCATCGCCATCGGGACTACACTCACCTCCGCTCCCATAGGCCTCTGTAGCTGCTGGCTCTGGGCCCTGCAGTTTCCTCTTCACACGGGCGTCTCGCTCCCTGGGGAACAGTGGTGGTGGTGATGATGACGATGATGGCCATGGTCGTGGTAATAACAGTACTTACCCAGTGGCAGGCATTTCACCCTCCCAGGGACCCTGTCAGGTAGGGGTCATCATTATACCCATTTTACAGATGAAGAAACTGAAGGCCAGAAAAATAAGTAGAAAGTGGCAGAGCTGGGATTTACTTCCTGCTTAAGCTTGTCCATGCTTTCCTATTGCGTTTAGTATCAATGGAAACTCCTTCCCAGCAACAAGACCAGGGCACGGTCTCACCCAGCTTATCTTTCTGCCCCATCTCCACTCTCAGCCTCTTTGGAACCCTCTTCTGTCCGCTCTTCACCTGCTAAACCTTTTTTCTTTTTTTTTTTAATTTTTGAGACGGAGTCTCCCTCTGTTGCCCAAATTGGAGTGTAACCTCCGCCCCCTGGGTTCAAGCAATTCTCCTGTCTCAGCCTCCCAAGTAGCCTGGGATTACAGGCACCAGCCACCATGCCCGGCTAATTTTTTTTGTTGTTGTTGTTTTTAGGAGTTTCATCATGTTAGGCTAGTCTCTAACTCCTGACCTCAGGTGATCCACCTGCCTCGCCCTCCCAAAGTGTTGGGATTACAGGCGTGAGCCACCATGCCTGGTTTTCTTGTCATTTTAAAAATTTGAGGTGGGGTTTTACTCTGTTGCCCAGGCTGGAATGCAGTGGCACAATCACAGGTCACTGCAGCTTCCAACTCCTGAGCTCAAGTGATCCATCTCAGCCTCCCAAAGCACTGGGACTACAGCCATAAACCACAAAACCCATCCTTGTCTCAGTGCAAGCACAAGTTCCTCAAGGAAGTCCTCCCTGACCTCTTGAGAGCACACACCCCACCCTCATAACATGTCACAATTCTGCTTTTGCATTTGATGGAGTGACTCCTTGGTTCATGTCTGTCCCTTAAGCTCCTTGAGGGCAGGAGCCAGCTCTGAGGGGCTGCACTTAGAACAGTCCCCACGACCTTACTGAACCTTTACTGTTCAACATAACCTGGCTTTCCATCCCCTGTCTGACTCCACTCACTCCACTACAGCCATGCTGCAGGCACAGTCCCACCACAGGGCCTTTGCACATGCTGTTCCCACTCCCTAGTGTGCTCTGCCATATACCCACCTGGCTCCCTCTTGTACTTCCTTCAGCTCTTTTTCTTAAGTGTCCTCTTACCACTGAGGCCTTTCCAGGCCTCTAATACCTCACCCCAGTCCTTCCTATGCTTCCCTGATTTATTTCTCTTTCTTTTCTTTCTTTCTTTCTTTTTTTTTTTTTTTTTTGAGACAAAATTTCGATCTTGTTGCCCAGGCTGGAGTGCAATGGCACTTGACTCACTGCAACCTCCATGTCCTGAGTTCAAGCAATTCTCCTGCCTTAGCCTCCTGAATAGCTGGGATTACAGGCATGCACCACCACGGCTGGCTAATTTTTGTATTATTAGTAGAGACAGGGTTTCACCATGTTGGCCAGGCTGGTCTCGAACTCCTGACCTCAGCTGATCCACCCGCCTTGGCCTCCCAGAGTGCTGGTATTATAGGCATGAGTCACCACACCTGGTCTCTCCTCTCTTTAGCTTCCTAACAAACAGACCACATTTGATTTATTTCTCTTGTCTGCTTGTCTGCTCTCTCCACTAGAATGTCAGTTCCATGAGGGCAGGGGCTTTGGTTTGCTTTGATTTATTTCCAGTGCCTGGAACTGTCCCTGGCACAAAGCAGGTACTAAATAAGTATTTGCTGAGTCAGAGAATGAATGTTTTTACTTACCACTGCATGCCTGATGTCCAGCACAGTGCCTGGCACACCATGAGCGATTAATAAACATTTGTTGAATGCATGAACGAGCGAATGAATAATGCCCACCTCTTACAGTTTCTGCCGTTCTCCCGGAAGCCTTTGGCAAAGGGATTGGCTGCAATCTTCAGTTGTGTGATCTGGGAGCACACGTCCAGGGTCAAAGCTCCTGTGGCCTGGGCAGGGTGCCACCACCCCCTCCAGCAGGGGCACTCACCCGTGGGTTCTGGTAGGCTGTCACAGAGATGAATGTGGTCTCAGGGAAGCGGAAGGAGGCCATACCTCCCCAGTGCTGGCTGCAGAGCTGGGCTGCTCGAACCAGGTGTATGCGGGGCTGGTACTTGTGCATGGAGTGCAGGATCAGCTGGGAGGGAAGAAATGGGAATGATTCCCTGCCCCGTGCCTCAGCCTTGACCTCCCTTCTAGCACCCCTATCCCCTATCCTGGAGTCCCAGCCTGGGCCTCACGTGGCCGTGGGGGTCCAGCGTGCTGTTGGTGAGCTTGACACGATGGAAGGACACAGGCTGCCGCATCCAATGGGCACCCGTGGCAGGAGAGTCGGGGTGAATATAGACTCGGTCAGGCAGGCGGGGCTCTGCCTTGCCACTGGGCTCCCAGCGCCGGCCCTGCCAGCGGTAGCGAGCCCCGTCCACCGGAACCACGTCCAGAAGAAACAGGTAGCGGGCCTCTGGGTCCAGGCCGGTGACTGACACTCGGCAGGCAGGGAACATGCGCCTGTGCAAGGGAGGGAACAGGAGAGGCCTGGAGCTACCCACTGGCCAGGGGTGAGCCCAGCACCACCAACAGGACATAGCAGTAGGCTCCCCAGGGCTGTCAGATAAACATCCAGGGCAGTGGAATTAGAACCCAAAGGGCAGGCTGGAGGCATTGGCTCACACCTCTAATCCCAACACGTTGGGAGGCCAAGGTGGGAGGATCTGTTAGCCCAGGAGTTCAAGACCAGCCTGGGCAATGTAGCAAGACCCCATCTCTACAAAAAATTAAAAAATCAGGCATTGTGGTGCACACTGATAGTCGCAGCTCCTCTAGAGGAGGCTGAGGCAGGAGGGTCACTTGAGTCTGGGAGGACAAGACTACAGTGAGCCATGATTGCACTACTGCACTCCAGCCTGGGCAACAAGGCAAGATCCTGTCTCTAAAAAATGAAAAAAGGCCTAGGTGCAGTGGTTCATGCCTGTAATCCCAGCACTTTGGGAGGCCAAAGTGAGAGGATCAAGAGGTCAGAAGTTTCAGACCAGCCTGGCCATATGGTAAAACCCCTCTCTGCTAAAAATACAAAAATTAGCCGGGCGCGGTGGCTCAAGCCTGTAATCCCAGCACTTTGGGAGGCCGAGGCGGGTGGATCACAAGGTCAAGAGATCGAGACCATCCTGGTCAACATGGTGAAACCCCGTCTCTACTAAAACTACAAAAAATCAGCTGGGCATGGTGGCATGTGCCTGTAATCCCAGCTATTCGGGAGGCTGAGGCAGGAGAATTGCCTGAACCCAGGAGGCGGAGGTTGCGGTGAGCCGAGATCGCGCCATTGCACTCCAGCCTGGGTAGCAAGAGTGAAACTCCGTCTCAAAAAAAAAAAAAAAAAAAAAAAAAAAAATACAAAAATTAGCTGGACACGGTGGCATATGCCTGTAATCCCAGCTACTCGGGAGGCTAAGGCAGGAGAATCGCCTGAACCTTGGAAGTGGAGGTTGGGGTGAGCAGAGATCACACCACTGCACTCCAGCCTGGGCAACAGTCTCAAAAAAAAACAGTAATAATAATAAAGGAAAAAAGAACCCAGAGGGCAGAATCTTAGAGCTGGAAGGTTTTCTTGTCTCATTTTACATTTGGGGAAACAGGACAGATGGGTTAGGTGTTCTGTCACACAGCAGGTTAGGAACAGAGCCGTGATTCCTACCCCTCAAAGCCTATTTACAGAAACAGGGGTGACTAACTTTTCTCCCTGAAATATTGCCAGGAGCTTCATGTCCCCACCTTCCTCTCCTCCCCTGATCTCCAACACCAGAATCTGCAGCTTTTATATGAACTTGCTTCAGAAAAAAATATGCTGCCTGCAGTAGGGCTGAGGACTTTCCATCCTAGGGCTCGAGCTCCTGCCCTAGATGAAGGTCTCGACTCAGGCCACACACTGACCACATCCCTGCCTTTAGGGTGATCCTGAACCTAGTCATACACTGACTCCTATTCAAGGTACATACTGACCCTGAACCTAGTCATATACTGACTCCTATTCATGGTGCATACTGACCCTGAACCTAGTCATATACTGACTCCTACTCAAATCGCCAGACTTCCCTGATGCTGGTCACTGGGCTGGCCCTTGACCCCCTGTCCTTGTCTGAATGCTGATCTAGGCCACACACTAACCTATAACCCAGCGGGACTTCCTGACCCTGCCCCAGACTGACCTATGACCCTTGCCATAGATTGGTCCCTAAACTCAGCCACAGACTCCACAGACTGACCCTTGACCCTTGTCACAGAATGATTCCAGATTCCAACCACAGAGTGCCCCCTGCCCCCAGGCCATAGATTCTAAGCCTAGGCAGAGCTCTACCCCCTTAGAGAACCTCCCAGACCTATCCCCCTCCCCAGGGACTCTGCCTTTCCCAAGAGACCCCCCACCAGAAACACAGACCCTGGCCAGCCCCTCACCTCCCAGCTTTGGTGATGATCATTTCTGTTCCCACAGAGCTGAACTCCTTCCATAGCTCCCGGTTCTCCAGGATGAGGCTGACCCCAGGGAGGGAATGGAGGGCCTCTGGAGCTGTTGGGGCCGGCTCTGTGCCCATGGCAGGGGGCAGAAGGGGCAGAGGTGGGGGAGCGGCCAGGGTGCGGGGAGCAGCCTCCATCCCGGAGAGGAAGCAATCCAGTTTGGGGGTGTCCAGGTCTGGAAGTCGGGGAAGAATGAGGAACCAGCTGAGGGCTACAGTGCCCCCATTCTCCTACCCAGGAGCTGGTCCCAAGGCTCACCAGGGTAGCGGTAGCCCTCAGCTAGGGCAGGTGGGAAGCTGGAGTCCGCCCCGGGTTGGGGGGGCCCAAAGCGGTAGCCGGCCCCCAGGGACGGGTACAACTCTCGTGGATGGTACATGTTGTAGTTCCGTCTGGCCTCAGGTCCCGCCGCCTAGAGCCCCCGGTGCTGTGAGATGCCCCCTTTATAGCTCACAGCTCAGACCCAGGATCGCAGCCCCTCCCCTCTTTGGGGCCCTGGAGTTGGGCTGGGGTGGAGACCCCTGGGGCCTCGAAGGGGTCCGAGAGGGGGCCGGATACCTGGGTACGGTTCCCTCCTCCCCTCCCTCCCCACCCCGGGCGGCTTCATTAGCCTCGACCCCCTGCCCCCTCATTACATAATTAACTCCTCGGCCTGATTGATCCCCGGGGCTCGGACAGGGACGCAGTTTGGCGCTTCCGGCCAGCTGGTCCCCGTTCCCACGGTGGGGAGCCCAGCCTAAGGATAAGCTGGGGGGCGGGGCCTGGAACCTGGACGGAGCCTGGAGTCCCAGGGCACACCTTGGCGCCCCAGACCTTCTGGCAGGTGACCGCCCTCCGTCCCCCCTCACTTGGAGGACAGGCCCTGGAGGGAAGCAGCATGACCAGAAGGAAACTGCAGGCTGGAGGGACGTGGCCTAAACTGATTTCACAGGGCACTCGGGGCCGCGAGGAGGCCGCAGCCGAGGCCCTAGTCCCGGAGTCCTCCCTGGTCCCCATGCTAAAAAAAAAAACAACTCCACCCTGGGCCAAGCCTCAAAAGTTCAGAGGCGCACACAGTCCGACAGCTTCTGACGCCTCGCGCCAGGGTTTCCCAGAAGGTCCCGCTCTGAGCAACCCTCGGAACTACACTTCCCGGCAGGCACAGCGCCCGAAGGAGCCGGACGGACCACGCGGGGGCCGCTGGAAGTTGTAGTCCGGCCGCGAGGGTCTGCGGGGCCGGCGGCGCGGTTGCCTCCCGGGGTCGCTGCCCTTAGGCGGAGGCCAAACGCTGCATCCGAGCAGACGCAGACCAGCCACGGTCAAGGCGTAGGCAGCCAGAGTGGGCTCAAGACCTCCGTCGACAGTGAGACCGTCCCGGTTCCTGGAGCCCCAGCTTGGACAGCCGTACCTACCCCATTCCCCGCCGGGGCTCAGAACCGCACAGGTCTATAGGGGCAGAAATCTCGGCTTGTATTCCCCCTTCCCAGAATCCACGCGAGCCTGGGCTGTCTCCACTCCATTGTTTTATTATGTACAAACGCTACAGAACGAGGGGGACAGACACGCGTGGGGTAAGAGGGGCCTGGTGGGAGGAGAAGTTCACAGAGCAGACGGTGCACTGGGACCAGGGGAGCAGCACACAGGCCATATCTATAGGGCAGGCGGGGCAGGAAGGGGTTAAAAACGAGATCCAAGCCAGCCAGATCGCAGGAGGTGCGGGGGCGTCGTCCCCCTTCTGATGTCCCACCAAGGTCACAGTGCATGCAATAAAATATATGTACAGGAGCCGGATCCGTCCTCTGCAGGGGCCCTGAGGGTCCAGAGCTCCCTTCGGGCAGAGGGAAGCCGGTGGCGCTCCCTGGCGGCCAGGCCGGGCTGGAGCCACATGCGTCGGGGAGCTGGGGTCAGTCCCAGCCGTTGTCTTTGATCATGTGGTTGAGTTCAATGATGTACTTCCCCTCTTTGTACTTCTGGCTGCTCTCAAAGGCCTGTTCCTAAAAGGAGGGGCGGGACTGTCATCCCCGGAGCAACAGTCTCACCACAAGGCACAGGGGTTGGAGAGTGGACATGAGTGGCCCCATTTTACATATGAGGAAACTGTGGACCGGAGGGGCATGGCTGTGTTTCTCATAGGTAGAACAGAACTTCCTGACTCGAAGGTACTTTTTAAGTACTAATGATGGCTCCAACAGAGAAGACAGGGAAGTGGCTAAAAGATTTCTCAGTTCAGAGTTTGCATACTGGTGGCTTCATGGCCATTTTGGTCTATAACATACGTTATGTTTGGACAGCAGAGGGTTTAATAAAAATAATTTAAAGTATTAAAATACAGGCAGGCCAGGCTGGGTACGGTGGCTCATGCTTGTAATCCCAACACTTTGGGAGGCCAAGGCAGGTGGATCACCTGAGGTCGGGAGTTTGAGACCAGCCTGACCAACATGGAGAAACCCTGTCTCTATTAAAAATACAAAATTAGCTAGGCGTGGTGGCACATGCCTGTAATCCCAGCTACTCGGGAGGCTGAGGCAGGAGAATCACTTGAACCCAGGAGGCAGAGGTTGCGGTGAGCCGAGATCACGCCATTGCACTCCAGCTTGGGCAACAAGAGCGAAACTCCGTCTCAAAAAAAAATTAATAATATATATATATATACACACACACATATATATGCAGGCTTTGCTCACTCCAGTTTGCCCCAGCCTACCCCCAACCCCCAGCCCCTCGAATCTATGCTGCCCTTTACACATCTACAGTATCTGCTTGGCCTTGCAGGCACTTGAGTTTTTGACCTCTGGTCTAGGCCAGCTCTTTATTTGATAGAAGTCCAGAGTGGCCAAGCCACCTGTCCAGAGACAGAGCCAATCTGTGGCAGGGTCAGTGGTAAGCTCAGGTCAGGGCTGGCTGGCTGGCTCTGCCTGGGACATCCACCTCACAGAGGCACCTCAGCTCCAAGTGACGCCTGAAGAATCCTGTCCCTTGCAATGTCCCAAAAGCATCTTCATTTGCCACATCTAATCTGATCCCTGTAACAATCCTGGGTGCTAGGCAGTGGCTTTATCTTCCACTGACAGATAAGGAACTGAGACTCAGGGTAGTGAAATCAGACCCTGGACAGCAGCAGTGGCAGCGAGGGCTACAGAAAGGGAGACTGGTGAATCCAAGCCCAAGGTTGTTGTGGAGTCTGGGGCAATTTTTCTGATCCTCTGAATGACAATATAAGCTGGTGGCCAAGGGTTTGGAGTGAAAAAAAAAAAAAAATCAACCAACACGGATTGTGGTCCCTATTCTGTTACTTACCAGTTGTGTGATCTTGGCCAAGTTACCTAACATCTCTGGGCCTCCCTGTCTTCTTCTGTAGAGATAATAATAGCTTCTACCTACAGGATCGCTGCAATGATTGAATGAAATAATAGATGCCAAGCACACAACAGTGCACGGCACATAAGCATTCAATAAATGGTGACTCTGATGATATCCTTACTCTCAAACGGGGATGCAAGTGCCTGGGAGAGGAGGGATGGGTTAAGAGAAAAATTTCACAGCCCTTGCAGGGTGCGAGAGAAGAGAACGTGGTCAGAGATGAAAAGATCGTCTAACTTGTGTGAGCTGGGCCTATGCAATCTGAAAGGTTATCGGATGACTGCTTGTCAGGAGGAGGTGTTGGAAGGTCAGATCAAAGGCTGGCCTGGGGTCAAAGGTGGCTGACTCACATATTTCCAGCCCAAAGTGGTCTTGCAGTTCTCGCAGTGGATGTCGGCAACAGCATGGAGGCCGGTCAGCAGCACCCGCTCCTCGGCTGGCCCGCAGCCCACGTTCACCCTGTGGGGACATAGGGCAGTCCCAGGGAGGGTCCTGACATCACAGGGCCCCCCTCAAGCACTATGCCTGTCCTGAGCATCCAAGAGAGGATGCTCACAGCTTCCTGCCTGCACCGGGGAATTCTGGGAGTCTCAACAGGATGCCAGGGGTCACAGGTCACAACAGAGGTCAGGGAAAGCAAGAAGGGAGGCCAGATACTCACACAGAGTTGAAGAGGTAGGCACGCCCCTGACTGCCCTGGAAGGACTAAAGAGTGGGGGGTGGGAAGAGAGGAAGGGGTCAGGGCTGCTGGTGGGGAGCTGCCAGGCAGCCCCTATAACTTCCAGCCCCACTGTGGCCTGGTTGGTTACCTTGGAGATGAGGTCGTCGTGGTTGGCCAGGTGAGCGCGGCAGTGGGCACAGCTATACCTCCGGTGACAATCATCCAAATAGGCCTGAAACGTCTTGGGCTTTGAAATCCGCACCATGGCGGGGGCCGGGGGCAGTGGCCCCACGCGGGGAGCGGCCCACGGGGAGCAGAGGGATCCCAGTGCCTGCCAGGGAGGGAGTAGGTGGGCTGTCAGGACCTGGGCCACACACATGCAAGGCACTCCCAGAGCCGTGGGGACTCGCTCTGTCACACTCGGCTGCTCTCTCCTTTCCCCAGAGGCAGCAGCCTCTCCAGGGACCAGAGGCTCTTGGTTTTGACTCAGTGAGGAGGCCTCAGGTTGCATCAATGGGGAAACTGAGGCTCGGAGGAGCCCAGTGTGAGTCACCCGCTTGCTTCCTGCCTCAACCTTGCTGACCTGGCACTGAAGCTGGAGAAAGGGGCTTTGGAGGGGCTGGGCTGTCAGTTCCCAGTTTCAGGGGAGCATAGGCGGGTTGGCATTGGTTGGTCCTTGCAACCTCATCTGGAGGGCAGTGGGGGTTCTCTGGGGGTTTAGGGGGTTCATAGGCGGGAGGGTCCCCCACCTGGAGGGGGCGGGAGGCTTCGCAGTGAGGGTGGAGGGTCACCTAGGAGGGGAGGGGCTCTCACCTGCGGGCGCCGAGGCCTCCTCTACACCCAGGGGCTCTTACCTGCGTCGCGGAGCCTTACCTGGACCCCGGGGCTCACCTGGGGCGCGGGGGTGGGGGCGGGCGCCGGGGGCGGGGGCGCGGGGCGACGCGCAGCCCTGACGGCGCGGGCCTCACCTCGCCTGGGCGCGCGGGGCCCGGTCCGCCGGGGTGGGCTGGCCTGGGAGTGGGGGGCGCTCCTGGCGGGCGCCGTCCCCCCCGGCCCGGGTTCGCAGGCGCCTGGACTTGTTTACACCGAGCCCAGCTGCTGCCGCCGCTGCGGCGGGAGGGGGAGGGGACCCGCCTCCCGTCCCGGCGGCCGCCGTGGCCAATGGGCGCGCCGCATGCAAATGAGGGGGCGCGTCACTCGGCCGCCGGCGCAGGTCCTGGCTGCCCCTCCCCCGCCGCCCGCACCCGCCGGCCCGGAAATGCGGCGGCGGCCCGCGCGTCCCGGGCCTGCTAGCATTCCTGCTCGCGGTCCGCGCCGGGGCGGGGTCGGAGGGTCTAGGCCGGGCGCGGGGCGGAGAAAGGGATGGCGCTGGGACGCACGCCCGGGGGAGTAGAGTCATAATGACCCGCGTTTGCCCGCCGCCCAAGCCCTGCTCAATCCCCGCATCAATCCGGTGAGGCCGTTTCTCCCGTTGGTTCCTCTGTTCCGGGGGCTGAGGCCCAGGGAGGTCTCGCGGCTCCCCAGGTTATCCAGCTGGTACGGGGCGAAGCTGGAATTCTCAGGGTGGGCCCATTCCACGGCCTTTGCCAGAGCGCCAGGGACACACTCAGTTCACCTCTTAGCAGGGAAGGGCCAGAGGGGTGCATCCCCCCTGGCAGCCAGAGCCTCGAACCAGGCAATTCCTACATCACTTCCCTCCAGGCACCCCTCCGATGCCCCTGTCTTCCAGGCTGGGTTAGATCTGATCTCAGGGCACGTGTGTTTCAACACGCTTCTGCAGTTCTTACCCTTGTCTTTCTCACTGCAGTGGGCCCGGCCTGGCCTAGAGGAGGCGCTCAATAAGTGTCTGTGAAATGTGAATGTGTAGTTCATTCAATGAATGTGGCCCTGGGGCTGGAGAGGGCACAGGCGTTCTGGGAGCTTCTGGAGAAGGAGACCTGGGAGGAGAAGGTTGGAATGGCGGAGGCAGCAGAGGGGCTGGGTGAACTCAGCTGTTCCACCAAGGCCCATCCTCTGCAGCACGAGGAGGAAGCTCACAGGGCAAGACATGGGAGAGATCAAGCCCCCTGCCCTGTGCCTGGGCTGTTGATGGCCTCAGGAAAATGGAACGATTATCTGTCGCTGTCAAGTGGCTGGGGGCCAGGACACCTGGGTTGGCAGTGAGGGGACATTCCTGAGGAGAGTGGAGGCCAGGTTGACACAGGGTGTGCTAGGATGACGGGAATGTAGTGGAACCAGTGGGTCAGGCTCCTGAGAGCCCCAGGCTCCAGCCTCAGGGCTGGCCTGTTCCCTCCTAAGCTGCCATCTTGACATCTTCAGGACCCACCCCTCTACTCCTCACTCTCAGCACAACGATGTGATCCAAAGGCAAATATTTATTTTTCAGGAAGAGAAACAGGAGAGGGTGAGGCCTCTGGACTTAGGAGGTCCGGGCAGCTGGTTCATGGTTGTCCAGGTAGTGCCTCAGAGCTGTGGGGTAATCCGTCATGACGCCAGAGGCTCCCACGCTGAAGGCGGCTTCAAAATCTGACTCATCATTAAGGCACCAAAAGACCACCTGAGCAGGGAGGGAGGGGGCTTGAAGTTTCTGAACAATTTTACATCTAGACCTGCCTCCTCCTCTATGGAGACCTCCCAGCAGCAGTACGCTGGGGCTGATTGTTAAATTCTCAGGAATTTTGCAAAGTGGTTATTAAACCCAGCCATTATTAAAAATTAAATCATAGCCTGGGTACCATGGCTCATGCCTGTAATTTCAACACTTGGGGAAGCTGAGGCAGGAGTTGAGGCCAGGTGTTTGAGATCAGCAAGTAAGACCCCCTCTCTACAAAACACGTTTTAAAAATTAGCCAGATGTGGTGGTGTGCGCCTGTGCTCCCAGCTACTTGGAAGGTGAGAGAATTGCTTGAGCCCAGGACTTTGAGGCTGCAGTGAGCTATGGTTGCGCCACTGTACTCCAGCCTGGGCAACAGAGCAAGACCTCATCTCAAAAAATAATAAATAAATTATATAAACATAATTAAATGAATTATTAAAACAACAGTGGCTGGGGTGGTGGTTCACACCTGTAATTCCAGCACTTTGGGAGGCCGAGGCAGGTGGATCAGCTAAGATTAGGAGTTCGAGACCAGCCTGGCCAACATGGTGAAATCCATCTCTACTAAAAATACAAAAATTAGCCGGGCGTGGTGGTGGGTGCCTGTAATCCTAGATACTTGGGAGGCTGAGGCAGGAGAATCACTTGAACCCAGGAGGTGGAGGTTGCAGTGAGCCAAGATTGTGCCACTGGACTCCAGCCTGGGTGACAGATCGAGACTGTGTCTCAAAAAAA